GATAGATAGATAGATAGATAGATAGATAGATAGATAGATAGATAGATAGATAGAGATAGATAGATGATAATAGGCAGACAAATGAGATAGATGACAAAGACGAATAAGATGATAGAGATATAGATAGATAATAGACACATAGAGGTAGACAATGACAAATGAGGTAGATGAGAGATACTACTGTTGAATGGAAATTATTTGTGCATATTTATGAGATGTGATATGATATTTTGATTTATGTATACATTGCATGATGATTAAATCAGTATTACAATTCCATACCCCTTCATCACCTACTTGGGTGGTTGTTGTTGATGTTCTACTATCTTAGAAATTTTGAATATCAATACATTATCTTAACAGTCATCACCATGCTATCAATGGACCACTGAAATATATTCTAACAGAAACTGAGTTTCTTTGGACCAATATTTTTTAATGTGAAACTTAGCGAAGACAACAAAATAATTTGCTAAGAATGCCTAAGCTCTTTCCTCTATGTGGGGCTATAAAGTGGACTGTTCTGTCAACACAGAAAACAACAAAGAACATGTAGGGGACTCATTTCCTACACAGTGCACGAAACCAGTGGAAGTTGTCAAACAAATCTTCCCAAATCTTTCTGTTTGTATTGGTTTGGGCAAATGCTGTTTCTTACCTACTTTTTGCTTCTGCTGCCACTTGATATTTGATTTTTAAGTACAGAAGATTTGTCATCTATGAGGCCTTTCAGATTTCACAGTCAGTTCTGAGCATGACTAAATGATACAATTTTTCAGTTCCTTGGAAAACAAATCTCATCCAATTTTCCACAGCACCTGTAGCCTAAGTCATCACCTTGACTAGTGGATAAACTTCCCCAAAATCCTCAAATTTGCATTTCAACGTGATTCCATCACTTGCTGTCCTGTGTGTTGTTACTTTTGCAAAATGACTGCAGCTGTGTTTCTGTACGCAAGGTGACTCTCAGACGCTTCAGGTGACAATAACAAACATGAAAGACCAGCAAACACATCTGGGGGAGTCATGGTTCTGCCTAAGACATCTGGGGAGTCAAGGTTCCGGCTAAGGGGGCTCAGTGCTGACTACAGTCAGAGGGAATGTCAAAGCTAGCCACATCTATATTCTAGGAGACTGCACCATGTATTCAATATCAAAACAATAAAGGTAATTTGTAAGACTGTTTCCGGACATTTTATAGCCCTTGTGAAATAAAAACTGCTCATTAAGTGAACAATAAGTCATTTTCGTAAGAGTCTCTTACATTTTTCAGTTACACTGATGGGGAAAGGCATTATTTTTCATGGTAGAAATTCCCATTGCTCTAGAGACATCCCGGGACTCAGAAAGGCATTACTCAACTGTCTATCCTGTTAGGTCTTTATCCACTGGCCACTGGCAGCAATTTTCTTTCCCCAGCCATGTCTATGAGGTTATGGCTCTCTCTCTCTCTCTCCAACCCAAGGGCTTTGTGTTCGCATCTCCCTGTCCATGGTCAACCTCCACATACACAGGCAGCACATGTGGCAGTCCTGAGTGGGCAGAGTCTCTGCAAGCAGCTCCCTTCTGTGTCTGTGTGATGGCAACATTGAAAGACTAGAAAGTATCCAAGACTAACCAGTGAGTACAACTGTTGTGTTTATTTACTGGCTAGTCATTTTTTTCTTTTTCTAGTAGGTCCTTCAAAAATAAACAGCATGACTTTTCATCATCTTGAGAAACACACCTCTCTGTAACCTGAGCCACAGTCGTTTGGCTATATACACATGCAATATTCCTGCAGAGGGTGAAATCTTTAAGGTTGGTGGACCTAACCAAGGTGTGACCCTCCACACAGCACCACCCATCTCCTGCCACAGTCTTCCCTCCTCCTTGTCATCATGGGCTTGGGGGAAGCTGCTTGGCCCTTGATGCAAAGGGAGCTTAGCTCATTTGGCTCCTGAGTAGTTTTATACACTTACCCTTCCTTTATATAACAAACCCACTTTCATTAACAATAAAAATGATGCCAGAGAATTGCAGATAAGAACCCATTTCTTCTACTGAATTTCATGTATGTTAAATCATGCCAATAAAATATAAAATAATGATAGCATAAGAGCACTAAATAAATAAAATACCACAAAAGAGTAGGAAATAATAGATTGAAACTTTTAAGTTGCCTTTATGTCCCTCCCAAATCTATATTATCTCAGGACTGGATAATCCTTGTAGATTCCTGGGAAATTCCCTTGGGTCAGGTAGAAACCAAAATGCACCCCCTTTCCAATAGTCTCTTTCAGTACTCTGTGCCCCTCAACCTGGTCACTCACATTCCCATTTCATCGCCCCTTCATGATAAAAGTCTTGGAGAGATCAGGGATACAAGGGAAATACCTAAACATAATAAAAGCAATGTACAGCTGGCAAATTAGCAACACCAAATTAAATGGAGAGAAACTCAAGGAAATTCCACTAAAATTAGGAACCAGACAAGGCTGTCCACTCTCTTCATACCTATTCAATATTGTACTTGATGTTCTAGCAGGAGCAATAAGACAACTAAAGGAAACCAAGAGGATACAAACTGGAAAGGAAGAGGTCAGAGTCTCATTATTCACAGATGATATGACAGTACACATACGCGACCCCAAAAGCACCACCAGGGAGCTCAGACAGCTGTAATCACCTTAGTCAAGTGGCCCTGTGACAATGAAAAACAAACAAAAAAATCACAAGGAGCTAAAGATAATTTTAAAACATGGTGTCCCTGAGAACCAGTAACAAGTAAGCCATTTACAGCTGAGGTGTCTGATGTTTGTCTCATAGTATGAAATGCCCACCATGGAAATGAGAAGGCAGAAGCCAATTTGTGGAAAGTACAGTCAGAAACTCCAGCAGATGCTCCAATGTGGGTCTCCATCTGTATCGCCATCCATCATCAGATGAAGGATCTATGGTGATAAGCAAAATCTTCATCAGTATGGTTATAGGCCAAGGCCGGTTCAGGCACCTTCTCCTCTGTCTAGAGAACAGTCTGGGGATCTCTCCTTGGACCTGGGATCCCTTTTATAATCAAGTCTCCTGTAAACCCTAAAATGACTCCCTTAGTTGAGATATATTCTTCCCTGATCTCATATCCATCCTTCCTCCCTCCCCCCATCCCAATCCACCTAGCTTTCCCTATTCCTCCCCTACTCCCTTCTCTCTAACCCTCTTCCCTTCCAACAACCCTCCCACCCCCCCATGCACCCGAGGTTACCTGGGACTCTTGTCTATTTCCAATCTCCAGGCAGATAGCTACATGATTTTCAACAGGTTCACCTTCTTATTTAGCTTCTCTAGGATCACGAATAATAGGCTCAAAGACCTTTAATTATGGTTAGAATCCACATATGAGTGAATACATACCATATACCTCTTTTTGGGAAGATTTTGCTTATCACCATAGATCCTTCATCTGACGATGGATGGCGATACAGATGGAGACCCACATTGGAGCACCGGACTGAGCCCCACCATGGTCCAAATGAGGGACAGAAAAAGGAAGAACATGAAAAAAACTCAGGACTGCGAGGGGTGCGATCACCCACTGATACAAGGGGACTGATCTAATGAGAGTTCACCAAGGCCAGTTGGACTGGGACTGAACGAGCATGTGATCCAACCAGATTTTCTGAATGTGGCCGGATCTCTGAATGTGGCTGGTCCGGAGCCTTTCTGAAAAGCCACTGACAATGACACTGGGACTTGTTTCCTCTGCATATGCTGGATTTTTGGGATCCGGTCTGTTCGGATACTCACCTTCAGGGACCTGGAAGGAGTGGGGAGGAGCTTGAACTTCCCACAGGGCTGGAAGCCCTGACTGCTCTTAGGGATGAAGAGGGAGGAGGAGGGGGAGGGGGGAGTGGGAGGGTGTTGGGAGGAGGGGCGGAAATGAAAACTTTCATAATTTAATAAACTTTAAAAAAAAAAAAAAAGAAACTCCAGCAGAGCTCTTTGCTGCCCCAGCGGACTTCAGTGTTGAGCACTGATGTAATGATGCTCCTTCTGTTCCCCATCTCGATTTGGCTCCTCCAGTCATCTCTGCTGGGTGTCGTGAGCACCAGATTTGATGACGCTTTGCCACCTATCCATGGCTTCTCTCTTGTTACTTGTTCCTCTACTTTTGCTTGATATATACTTAATAAACTCATTCGTTCAAAGCCAGACGTAATGCTAGGGCCTTCTCTGGACAGTACGGAACGGCTTGTGTGCTGAACGACCTCAGCCGGCAGTGCTCTCTGGAAATGGCGGAAACTTTCGGAGGTGGGATGAAGATGAAGAACCCCTCCCACTTCTCTCCACGGCCAACATGATATGGAAAATCTCCCTCACCACACTCTCACTGCTTGATAGTCTGCCTTAGTCCATGAAGCCAGGTAATCACAAACTGTACACCCGAAATTGTGAATTAAAGTAATTCTGCCCACTCTCAACGTGTTCTCCCAGGCATTTGGTCACCACAACAAAGAAAAGTCGGATGGACACAGAGCAATTTCTAAAATTGTATCTGTCTGAGTGGCGCTCCCTCGATAGAAATTCATCTAGCCGC